GTTCCAGCATCTGTGTGAGTATCGAGAGGAAGCAGCGACCTCACACTCCTCCTGATGTGAGTACAACTTCATCTGGCACTGGTTTTCCATCCTATAAACTGCAGCGGTCCCCGCTGTGACTGTAGCTCCGCCTCAGGAAGTTGAACCAGTGTCTGTTGAGCCAGGCATCGGAAGCAGCCAGCTGAACAGCCTGCCAGCTCCCCACAGGGTGGTCGGTTTGAATCCCTGCCCAGACACAGACACAACCTGCCAGAGAGTGAGAGAAAGGACTTAGTATGCATGTCTGGACACATTCTTCAGCTTCACCATATCTACAGGGTGTGTGTGTGTGTGTGTGTGTGTGTGTGTGTGTGTGTGTGTGTGTGTGTGTCAATGCAGGTGAAGAGGTGAATTCCTTCCAAACTGTGCAGGCTTACAGAGCTGAGAAGAAGTGTGCTTCAAAAATATAATGTCACAAAGAGTTTCTATTTTCTATTTTGTCCTCATAAAAAATGCAGTAAAAAGGGAAAATCAGTCAAATGCGTATTTGGTCTATCCAACCTCTGGCTTTAATGGCAGCAGTGCTTCTACTTTCACATGTTTACGCAAAGGGACTGAAAGTATCCGTGAGCCACTTTCTCTGCAAAATGATCTCAGAACAAGACACAGCAACTAGAATGAAATATGATTTAATAAATACAATATGCAGGAATTCCAATCGGTTACTCTTAAAAATTGTTTTCCTGAAGCGCACCCGCAGCTCATTAAGATTTCAGACATGCTGTGCAATATATTAAGAAGCATGACGGGGAAGAAAAGAGACTAAAACCAAGTAAAATATTTATTTACAAAAAAAAAAAAAAAAACAGGCGCTGACCAAATTACTTTTTACTCACAGCAGATGTACTGACAAGAATGCTTAGACTAAGTAACACGGTAAAAGCAGACTCAAGGGCATTACAAAACCTAACCACATAAATATAAAATGAAGCCAGATCAAAAAAATAAAGTAAAAATGTATATAAAAATAACTAAATTCATATCTGAAATTAGTTCTGCTACAGTTAAACTTAGCTTGTATGTTTTACTAGATCCTGAATGTGGTTAATCACACGGGATTTTAAATCTTGTGTGATTGACCACCGCTCACCACCCTGCAGGTGGGTAGTTTTACTACTGCACAACCCACGTGCACCCTGTCCCGACCATTTTTATACATCATGTGCTTTCCCTGCCATGTGGGACATACTGCTAAATATAAATATCTACAAATGTCAACAACACTTTCAAAATTAATTCTATTTTTCAGTAGTAACCACTCAAAGTAAAGCAGCTGTATTTTAAACCAGCTAAGATTAGGTTGCTGTTAACACTATTACAGGAGGGTTCCTGGTTGGCTTCAGCCTTTATTTGTGGACTTGTGGCATGTTCTCCCCATCCTTGTGTTTGTTTGCTCCAGGGGTTCCTGTTATCTCCCCCAGCAAGATTTCCTTGTTAGGTTAATTGGATCAGTTAATTCAGCCTTTCCTGAGTCTACCCTGCTCCCTTTAATATGATATAGGAGTAAGGTTTGGCTGTGTTACACCCCCATCCTAAACAAGCACATTAAAATAACAACTAGAAAAGCTTTTCCAATTTGGTCTAAAACATGCATTTTGGTCTTGCTGATCTTCTGTCACAAGTTTTCGATTTCGGTATGCCAAACAAACAAGAAATCTATAAGAAGGGGCTAATAGCTAATCAAACCAGACCAATAACAGCCCCCATCACTACTGACCAGGCTGCTAGTCTAGTAAAGTTAAGGAGGAAATATCAATTCCTATAAATCTGTATGTATTTATAGACATTTAGGACATTGTACTGGGAGCACAGTCGACACATATAGAACCTCATTTGATTCTAATTACTGAACTGTCACTAACATTAGTGTTGTTTTACATCATTTGAAACTTTTACATGTTTTTAGTACACTTTGAAACTTGAGCCCATGATCTCATAAGGAAATTATTCTCTAAGATAAGAGAGTATGGGAGGCTAGACCTGTGTGCCCATCGACTTCTTCAACTGAAAGGCTTTACGCAGCTGCAGGAGTCGCCCTCTGCAGGCCATTAGAAAGAACGCAGGTTTAAGCCATTTCTGAGCATGTTTGCTTTTCAGACCCAGAAGCTGCATCTGTTCTGTTGTTAGAATATATGGAAAAAAGCCATAAAATGGCATTTTAACTGCTCTGCACACTAGTAGACAATACTAAATGAGATAGAAAGCAGCAAAGACTCACGATTAACAACACAGGCAAGAAAAGAACAAAGATGTAAATCATCGACCAGCAAGAGTCACAAAACGCCTGAGTCAGCATTGCAGTGTGCAGATGTTTTTGTCCTTTCAGCCCCAATGATTAACTTGGTTCCAATCCTGCCCTTCATTATATTTAGTCATTTCTGCTTTGAAAATTTTACAAGATGTCTTCAAAAAGAGCTGCAGCATCTCTACCACCTGGTAGCGTTTGATTATCTGCCTCATATGCCGCACTCGACTGAAGTAGGTTTCCTCGCCCCCGCTGCCACATAAAGAGGGCCAGCCTCTGTTTTTTGGTGAAGGCGGATGCTCAATGTTCCTCCTTCACTTCTGAAACAAATAAAAAACCCTGGTCATTAATTTCTGATGCACTGAGCTATCGCTCTGCAGGGTGACAGCATCTGTTGAAAGCTCCAGTAACTAATTGCATGAAAGGCAGTTCTGTTGTTGTTGGTCGGGGGATTAACTTTTGTGCCCTTTTTGATTTATATGGAAAGACTTATAACACCACACTGCATAATTAAGTCTGACTTGTTTCAGCTGCTTGCAGATTTACCCAGAAACACTGAACACACACACACACACATATGCACAGTCTAGGTACTTCTCTGCTTGACCACACAAACTTTGATAAGTTGAAGGACAATTTACTACAGACATGCTGCCAAACGTACAGTCTCACACTCACTGTGCTGATGTATCAAAACTGCAGCGTGTGCTGTTTCTACAGATGGAACTTTAATCAGGGTTTAAAGGAATTTTGAGGTAAACTTTTTTTTCTTTGTGCATCTGAAGATTTAAAGGGAACGCTCAGACTCAGAAACAAAGCTGGTAGAGACGCCTGTTTGTTCCCCACCGTTTTCATTCAAACTGCGTCGCCAGGAAACAGCTTGGATCCAATAAATTACTCCTGTGGCTGCGCGTTTCGCTATCAGCAAAGTTCACTCTATTTTCTTACGTGCTCTGCCTTTATTAGACTTCACTGCTGGTTTACTCTGACGAGACTCCGAGGCAGCTTGAGAAAAGGCTCACAGTCCAATCAGGTGGTAGCATGCCAGCTGAATGAGAGCCAAAGCCTCCCCTTCCTTTGTCACACTTTGGAGCAACGTTGTTGGTTGCCCTATGGTGTTGTTGATGAGTGAACCTGCCTCATCACATCAGCTCAGAGCAGGCAAGGAAGCCAAGTCAGTCCTTCAGGAGGGGCAGGACTTGGAAGGCCGTACTCTCCCTCCTCAGAATTTGTCTGGATTTAATTGGATTTTCTTTCCTATGCACAACAAAAACAGTTTTGTATGTTCTAAAGATGGAATATGAAATTGTATTCATTCTACAGGAGTGGTTGAAGAGCTGGTAATAAACTAATCTTGGACATATTGGACTAAAACCACTATGGAAATTCTGTGACTGTGGCGTCAGCATTAGGTTTTTGATTTTTACATAAATATCTTAACAAATATTGGATAGGTTGAAGATTAATTGTCTGTATCTAAATGTATGATACATATATTTTAGTAACTTTCTGAAACACACAGATTCATACCCACTTCACAGTGTGACTGTGGATTTGTGGCAATTTTCATGCATACAACTCACTGAAAAACAATCTGTTTTTGCATAATTTCAGCAGTTTTGAACTTCACTCTAAAAGTAAAACAACCAGCTTTAAGAGATAAAATGATGGACATTAGTAATAAATTGCTTCATACCACATAAGCAGCAATTTCATGCAAACATGACTAAACTTCCATATTCGAGTAGAGGACATGTGTACATCAAGCTGCAGCATCTGGAACTGAAAAATGAAGCTCATGCAAATGCCAAAAATTGTAATTCTCAATTGGGCAGTCGAGGCTGGCTCCAAAAATAAACATGTTTACATCCAGGTACAAAAAACAGCATTGGTCTATTTAATTGCTTTATCCCTTAATCAAAACTCTACAGAGGGTGAATTTTTATTTAACTAACCCTTTTAAATGATATTGACATAAGCATGGCATTAACTACATCTATTTTAATACGTGGCTCTTTATTTTGAGAGGCTCAAATGCCACTGGACAGTTGATTGAAAGCCGTTTCATGGCCAGGCGAGGCCTATTCTCTCAATAGCTTGTGACAAATTAAGCAAAAAAGATCTGTTTCTGTTTCAAAGTAGCGAGGTGAGGGAGGCTCTAATAAACCTAGAGGGTAACTCTCACATTGCTAAGCTTTAAACACAGTGCTCTGAAAGCTAACGAGTGATGCTTCATCCATTAGTTGTACACAGTTTATGGTTTGAATATAAGAATGGGTTTCATAGAACAGTTTCATAAGAAATAACTCTTTAAGACATGAAAGCATATGAAATGATTTTGTCTCTGTCTTTCAGTGGTTCGGTGATCTGGTGACTCCAGTGTGGTGGGAGGATGTTTGGCTAAAGGAAGGTTTTGCTCATTTCTTCGAGTACATCGGCACTGACTTTCTCTTCCCAAAGTGGAATATGGTGAGTGTAAACCTGACTTTTACTGCATTTAAGAGTAGGTATTAATGTGCCAGCCACACTATACCTTTGTTAGAAAGTTACAAACAGTAAACATTTGTATTTTTCATTAATTTCATCATGACCACTGAAGTCAGAGAAAACTGCTGTTTAATCTGCAGTAATTTGCCAGTATGGCTCTCATCTGGTACCTCCTGGCCTTTCCACAGATGGGTGAGCAACATCAAAGACCATCGCAGGGTACGGGGACAGATCACGCATAGATCACAACAAGCATGACATGCAATGGCGAGCAGCCAGTGTAGGCAGGTGAAAACAAGATCATTAACCTGTCCTCAGTTAGATTTGCCTGTTGGATGGGTGCTTGATCAGGATCACAACCACAGATAAAGCTTAAAAGCACAATGATGCTGCTGCTGGTCAGTGGGATAAACTGAATTTTTTTATTAATCAGTCTGATTAAAGGTTGGCCATTTTTTAGGTTATTTAATAGAAATATGAATTTTGCACTCATAAATATACATAATTTTATGTAATTATAGAATCTAACAAATATGTCTTTGAATTAATCCTTAATTAATAACAAACATAGGAATGTGTGCTTGTTTCTGGACGCCGCCTTGTTGCCCTGCCATCTTGAGGGCGAATGTTGCTGTTAACTGTGTTTTACGTATGGTGCTATAGAGCACATATGTACTATGTCAAACGTGGAGCAGAAGAGAACTTGTAGGTGTTCAAGTGCTATCGGGGCAAATTTTAATTCAGCACCCTGCAACAAAGTGTCTTGATGCATGCACAATCATCCAGGTAAGGAAAACCAAGAAAGCTGATTTTGTTCATCAGCACATAACGTTTTCAGTGGGAGAAACATGTCGACACTCATCCAAGTGACGTCTTCAGTCTCTTCGACCGTTCAGCAAAGAAATTAAAACTTAAAGGGAACAGACATCAAATATCATCCTCAAAACCACAGACATGGATAATTCAGTAAACAGATAAGTTACATACATGAAAAAAGATACTTAATTGAATCAAATAAAATTAACAAAAAAGAATAATAAAAATAAAACAAGTCTTGAAGGTATTGTTAATACAGTAGTGCTGGGGTGGGAGGATCAGTCCAGCATGGATGGGGAATATTTGAATTTGAGCGTAGCAGCTTTCTCATGTTGCATAACATCATTTGTTTTTGTTTTTTACAGTTTGAAATCACTGATAAATAATTTGGTTACATTCACATATTATAAGTATCCAAGTCCAACTATATTAGATATGTTTCAAACACCGTTTCACAAACAGCAGCAGCAGAAAACCTACAGCAGAACAATTCAGCATATCCTCAACAAGTAACTTCAGTACCGCTGCTTAAGAAAGTTACAAGCAACATGTTGAAAACCCCCCAAACATTTCACAAATTGTTCCCAGTTTTCCAAAATTGCAATAGAAATACAGTTCAAAATAGGAATGGTTTTAAAAAAATTTTTTAAAAGATTTTCCGATTCAAATCAATTTTAGTTTTAACAATACAATATTGATTCATTAAATCTACATCTAAATTCATTTAAATATAAATGTATTTTGCCAAAAATGCCAGAATCTCAGGTTAAAGCTCACAAAAGTATTTCAACAACCACCAAAGAGTTAAAATACCAAACGATTAAAAAGCAGGTAAACAGATTCTGCGCAAAGATGTACACACAAAATGCGACCCGTACATGGACACGCCGTTGGTGTTGAAAGCCGATATCTCACAGATTCTGAAGCAGCAGGTTTTGTCACTCTCCAATCAAAATTTCCTGAACCATCAGCAAAAGAAGATCAAAACTATGCTTCACATTTCATAAACATTGTCATGAATTCCCTCTTACTTTGGCTGTTTTACTTCCACTACGATAAAATCACACTCCTTGCACAGCTCTTTCTCTCTCTCAGTGCACTCAGAGACCAGTTTACTGTCAGAAATCTCTGTTTTCTACATTATTCGCTTGCTTATTACGCACCAGCTTACCGTTGTGTACAGCACAGTCGGTCGCTGATTTTTTTTTTTCTTTTTCAAAAATGACCTCCAACAAGAAAGCCTAACTTCTGCTGTTCAATACGGAAACAATCTAAACTTTTACAAATTCTGCCAAATTGCAAAACGCTTAGCTGTTTGTCTAATAAAACCTCCGTAACATTACTCTGCTTCACTTCAGCAGCATCAGGTAATGTTCGTCAACCATGTTTATTCATGGTTTTCTTCCATTTTTGATCTACTGCAGAATATTTTTAAGGCAGTGATCTGCTATAAAAAGCCAGGCCAGGAAAATCTCCTTCATGATTTTCTGTGTTTTATCTTCAGTGACTTTAACACAAAGGTATCTGCTGCTATGCTTACATCTCTCACAAGTGTCAGCGTTGTTTTTTTATACATAGATAAAAAAAAATATGGATATGTACTGATAAATGATCACAGTTCTAATATTTCTGACTGTCTGAGTCAAAATTGAATTGAACCAAATCTATTGGAGACCTCGTGAATCGGAATTGAATTAGTGACGATGCCCTAGTTAACAGTTCATGTAGCATGATAAAGTGAGACTCTACCTTGTGTTGACCCGACAAAGATCAAATTTTGGATTTCAGGGCTGAGGAATGAACTCCTGATGTTATCTCATGGAAATATTCTCATGATATGGCTTGTTTCACAGTAAACTGTGCAAACAGCCACTCAATATGTACTTTACCACTGATTATATTATATCACTTTCTTCAGCCTAAGATCTTTGATTTTGAACTGCAACATTACAGAGCTGTCTAACATGTTTTCACCTCGTAGCATCACGTGGTACCCTTTGTTACACTGAGTTTTTTTTTTTTCACTGCTGTCTGATGTACCAGCTTTGGCACTACATTTGCGTTTTTCACCTACATTTACCTGCTGGTTGGGTTTAGGAACTAAAAGTATTCAATTGTAAAGTGTAAATGCAGGACCTCACCGCAGAAACCCTGCTGGTTAGAAAACGACAAGTTGGAAGTTACAACAGAGTCTCACTAATGGGATAACCTGGTGCATCAGAGTCCACCAGTAAATAAAACAACACTGAGAAACACCAACAGCTTTGACAAAGCCCAATTTTTGTTATGCTCTGAAAATGGTAACAGGCTGACCTGTCTGAAATATTTTGTTTGTTGTTTTTGTGAAACTGAAACCAGATTTTAACCGGTTTTGCATTTTCAGACTCATGTTAAAGTTTGGGAACAGCATGTGAATCATAATAATCCACTCAGAAGTTCACTTTCAGACTTTCTTAAGAGCTTAACCACCAGGTGTGTCTTCACAAAATGTCACTCTGGAGTGAAAATGAAGTCTCTAAAGACTTGGTGGTAGCAGCGCAGGTTCACTCACTTTTTGACAAACATGAAATAAAGCTCTCTGCTGAGCATGTAGAAGTGCTTTCAGGTATTCTGAGGCTCTGTCTGCTCACTCATGAAATTTAATTTTTTCTCCCCTCTTGTGGTTTTATGAGTCAGGATTTCAGCTCAAGGCCTCAGCCGGTCAGATATGAATTAGATTTTTTTCAGAGTATAGCACAAAAAACAATCTCCAGACACCAAATAGAACATAGGTAGAAGGCAGGACATTTGATTTAAAGACAGAAAAAACATCTCTCAGGGAGGCAAACAGGCTGGATATGAAATCAGACTTCAGACCTGGTTTATCTTTCCATTCAGAGGCTGATCAGCCAGTGGACTCATTTTAACTGGTGCTGGTTGTTCTTTGGCAGAAAATAATTCTCAGTGGAAAGTGTTGACACAGAGGTCTGAGGATTATCCAGAGTAACTGGGACAGTTTTTGTGGACACTTTTAGCACCCCAAACAAAATACTGATCTAGTCTATTGTACTGGAGCGGTGACACAATAGCACTCAAACTGTGTTAGATAACAATACAGGATACATCTACTCTCTAATAATTTGGTTGAAGTTACTATTTTTGAAACGTTTCATAAAATTAACTGTCATAACTACTGGATTTAAATACAGATTTTTCAGGTTATGGCCCATTTGCTTTGTACACAGAGTTCAGTGACAGCTGCAGCACATTAATGATGAATGCAGTATCCCAGTAGAATCATTAATACAAAGGATGAAAGGCAACAACATGCCTGTAAAACAAAAACTTAACTGGGTCAATCTGGTGCAAAATCCAAGAACAGTCAGTGTGGAAGTGCAGTTCCTCAAAAGGCCACTTGGAGATGGCCCCCAAAAATGAGTAAATCCCATAAGCACCCATTTAAAACTGACCCCAAGATTTGCAGAGAAAATAAAGAGTCTGCTACAAAAATAAGTTAAAATAAAATTATATGGTAATAAAACAAGACTGCCGTTTGCATCTCTTTGCATCTAACATACAGTGGAAGAGATGAAGACAGCAACTTAGTAAAGAAATATTTGATTTTAAAGTACATTAAAACTGTACTTCAGTACTACTCAAGAAAGTATTCAATATTACTTGTTACTTTTTTTAAGTAATGCAATATGTAACCTAAATGTAATTTCTTACACTACTTGTTACATTACTTTGCATTACCTTATAACATGCCGTGAAATACACTGTCAGATAATTACCAGTAAACAGTATGAACCTAAGGCGACAGTTCCACAAATCCCTTTGCTAATGTGGACACACACACATTAGCACATTTTAGTGTTTGCTTCTTGCAGATAACTGAAGGGTTTTTGTAACACAATGTAACTTTTAATTAACTTTAATGTAATTATTCAATTTAGTAGAGTAATGTATTACACTACTGTGTTACTGAAAAATATAATGTGATTACTAAATGTGTTACTTTGGAATGCACTACACCCAAAAGCACAGTTGGAGGAAGGCTCGATGAGTTCTCGGTCATGTATGGAGGTTATTTTGTGCTTTGGTTTTCTTGGGCCAAAAAAATGTTTGAACATCATTGCACTCGGTAATGTTCCACCGCTGCTGTCCATTTTCCATCCGGTGGTGTT